CTGCCTCTGATTCAGCGGGTCCTTGGTTATCTCTGCTCTCTCCATCTCAGGAGCTCCAGGGAAGCCGGGGCCCTTCGGGAGGGCTGGAATGCCTGGGCAGAGCGTGAGAGTGGGCTACACCTTGGTGAAGCACAGCCAGTCAGAACAGGTGCCCCTGTGCCCTGTCGGGATGAGCCAGCTGTGGGTCGGTTATAGCCTGCTGTTCGTGGAGGGGCAGGAGAAAGCCCACAACCAGGACCTGGGTAGGTACCGGCTCGCACATCCAGCCCTGGCCCTCTGTCCCCACAAGGACCAGGAGCCACACTCCTCGCTCCTCCCAACCCTTGGTGGGCCCATGTTGGGTAGTGGGTTACAAGCACCAGCTCTGGAGTCAGGCAGATCTGGGTTCAAACCCCAGCTCTGCTGCTCACTCTGGACACGTTATTCAGCCTAAGCTTCCGCCTCCTTCTCAGTGGAACAAGCCTAATGCTAGTACTTGTCCCATAGGGTAGGCTAAGGATTACGGGAATCACCCATGTAAAATGCTTAGAACAACGTTTGACACGTATTAAGCATCCATTAAATGTTAGCGATCAGTAGTAGTAATAATAATATGACCTGCCGGCAACAATGATTACCCAAGAATTAATTGAATTGTCTTCAGGTGTGTGTTTCAGCGAACCACAGTCTCACTCTATTAAATGCTGATTTGACAAAGCAGACTAATTAGGGAGTCATCATTCAGTTTCTAAAAAGATTCTTTTCATTATCAAACTTCCCTGGTGCATAGAAAATAGACTTCAGTGTGTGTACAGTGGTCCGGGATAGGAAGGAAAGGCGTCCCTGCTCTGCTACAAGCAGTTGGAAATGAACCCAAACCACCATCTAGTCCAGCTGTAGTGGCTCCAGGGACGATCGCAGCCCTGCCCCTCAGCCAGAACTTACCTGCCCCTGCCCACCTTCTCTCCTTGCAGGGTTTGCTGGCTCCTGCCTGCCCCGCTTCAGCACCATGCCCTTCATCTACTGCAACATCAACGAAGTGTGCCACTATGCCCGGCGCAACGATAAATCCTACTGGCTCTCCACCACCGCGCCCATCCCCATGATGCCCGTCGGCCAGACGCAGATTCCCCCGTACATCAGCCGCTGCTCTGTGTGTGAGGCGCCCTCACAAGCCATTGCTGTGCACAGCCAGGACATCACCATCCCGCAGTGCCCCGTGGGCTGGCGCAGCCTCTGGATTGGGTACTCCTTCCTCATGGTAAGGTCCCGCACCGCCCTCTCCACCAGGAGGAAGGCCGAGGGCGGGGAGCGCTGGGAGGGAAATTCTGAAATCGAGTGCTGAGGGAGCCATGGTCTAACGGCCTGTGGACTATTCCGTGCTCTCTCCCTTCTCTGGAGCACACCGCCAAGGGCTTGGGGCAGACGGAGGGCTCTGAGAAGAACTGCATGCTGAGCCCTGTTGGCGGTTTCCTTAATTCAGCCTTTCTCAGATTTGTCAGTGGAAATGTTCGGGGGGCACCTAACACACCTTGGACTCGGCGGGACGGCAGCAGTTTGGGAAATACTGGCTGGGATGCAGCCGCAGCCCAGGAGCCGTGGGTTAGGAGGGCCCTAGAGAGCTTGGAGGGGGCGCTCCTGGCTCTGAGGCTGAGACAAGGGAGGACGAGCGCCCCCGGTCCTAAAACATAGCTATTGGTCCGCTGGCCAGACAGGGGGGGCTGAGCCGAGAGACCAGAGCTGAGAGACGGAGCAGCGGAGTCCATCACCTCCCAAGGTGACCAGTTCACAGCCACCGCCCATCTGTTTCAGCACACGGCCGCCGGCGCTGAGGGTGGGGGCCAGTCCCTGGTCTCCCCCGGCTCCTGCCTAGAGGATTTCCGAGCCACTCCTTTCATCGAGTGCAGTGGTGCCCGCGGCACCTGCCACTACTTTGCCAACAAGTACAGTTTCTGGCTGACGACGGTGGAAGAGAGGGAGCAGTTTGGGGAGGAGCCGGTATCTGAGACGCTGAAAGCCGGGCAGCTCCACACCCGGGTCAGCCGCTGCCAGGTGTGTATGAAAAGCGTGTAGGGTGGCACCTGCCACTCTGCCCCTTGCCCTCCCCTGCCCCGCACAACGGTCACCTCACAAACCTGAACGGTCTGAAGAAGGAAGGCCAAGCCCTTTTGCCCATCTGTCAAGTTGTACATTGGAGTCTCGTTTGGGCTGGACTACTGGACACTGGTCACCTCCACCCTCAGGCCCCATGGGTGAGCCCACCCTGCTGAGATCTGCTGTCCCATTTCGGTGCTACAGTCTGTGTGACTCTTCTTGGCTACCTCAGAAAGACCTGCTGGGCCACCACTTTCTTAGAATGCTAGCTTTCCTCACTCTCTTGATCAGAAAGCTCTTCGTGAGAGCGAAAGGAGTCATTTCATTATGATGTCCAGAGGTCACCGCACATCATTTGGCTTAAACTAGAACCCAGTGTTTTCACGTGAAAAAAATTTCTCTGGCTCAACATTATGGATGGCTCAAGCCTGCACAGGGCAAGCTCTCACCTCTTCCCAGAGACCCACTGTGTCTAGGCAGGCAGCAGAGCTGGAATGAGATGCCAGCCAGTGTCCCGGGGTGAGCTCTGACCCCTTCGAGAGTGAGCACGACTGGGCCCCAGACTACTTAGGGACGCTGGAAGACCAGCAGCCGAGAGGTGCTCAGGAACTTCACATGGTCGTAGACAAGTCACTTCCTCCTTGCCGGCTCCCTCCCCAGCCACAGGCAGCAGACTTGGCCTGGTTCAGAGTAGAGCAGAGGATGCACCAGATGTGGTCAGACCCATAAAGGGAAATGAGAACCGCAGCCCTTTCTCCCGGGCCGGGGGGAGAGGGGAGGATGGGTAAGGAGGTGTGAATTTTGCTTTTGACTCCAGGAACAAAAAGGAAAATCCCTTGTCCCGATTTCTGAGAAGCCCCTGTTTATTCCAAATGCCATTCGGATGTGTGCAGTGTGGCAACTCGACACTGCAGTGTTGGTTCCTTTGCATTTTGAGTCTGTGAGAGACTTTCCATTAAAATGTCCATCCAGTTGTTCTTTCACAGGTAGCCTGTTAAACCATTTTGATATGTTTTTAAAGCCTCATAAAAATCTAGCACAGTCCTCTCTTCAGCAGTTAGCAGACCCAAAGCAAGCCTGAGTAGACTGTAAAGTATATTCTGTTTAGGGGGATTTGTTTTAAGCATTTCCTTTAATTATCAGTTTCCCAGAACACTTAGCTATGTTGACATGAGGCAATTCCTTCCAGGTGATTCTGTTTCCTTAAATATTATGTAAACTGTGCCAACACAGACAAAGCATAATCAGTATAATCTGAACTATTGTTAACTTCACCTCCTCAGTAATAAGCATGGTGTCAGCTTTGTACATTGCAAATAAAAGGAATCCAATATGAACATTTGACTCCTTTGACGTTCTTTCTTTGATGAAAACTTTTCTAAAGTCCATCTCACTGAAATTCATAAGCCCCCCTCAGAGCCAAGGGGGTTCCTGTCACTGCAAGTCGAGCTTTATAACAAAACACTGAGACACGGAAAAATACAATTAAAGTCAAGGGTCGATAATGTCTTCCAACAGGCAACAAATCCACACCATGCTTCAAGATAAGCCTACAACTGTCTTTAGCCCCATCACACGCTAGAGTTCAAGAAAGGAATTTCCATGTTTCTGGGGCCTCAGGATCATTTATAGATAAATCAAAAGTAGAGAAATTTTAGGGCCTCCCTGGTGGCGCAGTGGTTGAGAGTCCGCCTGCCGATGCAGGGGACACGGGTTCGTGCCCCGGTCCGGGAATATCCCACGTGCCGCGGAGCGGCTGGGCCCGTGAGCCATGGCTGCTGAGCCTGTGCGTCCGGAGCCTGTGCTCCGCAACGGGAGAGGCCATAACAGTGAGAGGCCCGCGTACCGCAAAAAAAAAAAAAAAAAAATGTAGAGAAATTTTAGTCATTAAAATCAAATCTAAGATATATGTGCATATATTTGTATATGCATAAAATATATCCTCTGGAAGGATAAAGAAGAAATTAATAACATTGGGAGTGTTCAGGAAAGAGAACTGACCTGTGGGAGGGAGAGACATTTCACTGAATACCATTTTGCACCTTTCGAATTCTGAACCGCTGGAATATATTATCTACTGGAAAAGAAAAAAATGGAATCTAAGGAAACAAGTGTTCAAATATTCCTAAATATACCACACAAAAAACCCCACCTTGGTTTGGTGCTAGCTTTCAAACCGCAGTTGCTGGCCTTCCTGGGGGCTTGGTTGAGCATGGAGGTGAAATGCATAGGTTAAGAAGACAAGGAGAGGAAAAGGGGAAGATAGCACTGGGACACGAGGTGCATCCACACAAGAGAGTGGTTAGCAAAGCCAATTTGACGAATATGAGCTTTCAAATTTAGTATGTTGCTTGCTAGTCCTGAAATGGTTTGGAATTGTATTTGATGCACAGATTAATGTCACCACATGAATAATTCTTTCCAGTTATGACTGTCAAGCAAAATGGAGTCAAATTCAAACACAATTTTTAATTTCCCAAACAAAAATCAACAATTTAAGTCAGTGATTAGCAAACTACAGCCTGTGGGCTAAATCCAGCCCTCTGCCTGTTTTTGTAAATAAAGTTTTATTGGATTACGGCCAGGCTCATGTGCATGCACATTGTCTATGGCTGTCTTGGGGTTTCACCAGCAGAGATGAGGAGCTGTGACAGACACTATGTGGTCTTCAGAGCCTAAAACATTTCCTATCTGACCCTTGACAGAAAAAGTCTGCAGACCCCTGATTTAAATGATAATGATTTAAGGACAGGGTGACCATCTGACAAAAGTATCAGTAAAGATGGGGACAGTGACGCATCAAATAGTTAAGGTTCTCGCAAATGGGAAGGAGATCAATAAGTATACATTTGATGTAATGTCTTTGACACACTTTTTGAGGTCAATTATAATTATTTAAACACATGTTCAAATAATTTAACAAGAACTTTTTTTCCCTGATACGATTATCACTTTATTATTAGAGCAAGAGAACAGGTTGCTTCTTAGTATTTAGCCCAGAGAGGTCTAACCTGAAAGGGTGAAGAAGCACAGGGTAACCATCTCTCATCTGCTGGTGCTGGAAGCAAGGTGGGAGTTGCTGTCTATCTTCCAGACATCCACCTCCTCATTTCAGTAGCTGAAGATTCGCTGTGGCCATGTAAGAAGCTGGGAAGTGCAAGAGACGACTCCTAATCTTTCTGCTCCTAGATTCCATGATTGTTTTAGTTCTTTCTGGGGAAGGGGTATATTGTTCACTTGTGTGTTTTTTTCTGAGAAAAGGTGATTGGCTCAGTCATGATTGCTATCAAGTTTGTATGCTGTTGGCATATCAGGCACTTGCTGACTAGAAAAGTTTTTTGTGATGAATTCATGTTCTTCTGGTGCCAGATGGAAGACAGATCTCCAAGGTGAGTTCCCACTATTCTATATGCTCAGAATCTCGAAATCTTCCTCCAGGTCAAACTCCTCTAGTTGTTCAGTAGAGTCGATGAATTCTATCACAATACAGAAAAGAGGAAGAAAAAAGCTTGACACTTTGTCTCAAGCGGTCAATAAGTTACTCAGTAGTTAAGACCATGCATTTTTTTTTTCTTTTGCGTTATGCGGGCCTCTCACTGTTGTGGCCTCTCTCGTTGCGGAGCACAGGCTCCGACGCGCAGGCTCAGCGGCCATGGCTCATGGGCCCAGCCGCTCCACGGCATGTGGGATCTTCCCAGACCGGGACACGAACCCGTGTCCCCTGCATCGGCAGGCGGACTCTCAACCACTGCGCCACCAGGGAAGCCCCAAGACCATGCATTTTTAATTGCTTTGCTACAGAAAAGTTTGTGTAGAGGAGACTTATAGGTGGGACCACTGCTGAGTATTAGCAATTCTCTATAAAGAATCAAAATAGGTTTAAGGGCCAAGATGTGGGAGTAGAAAGACCCTGAGCTCATCTGCTCTCATGAGCACACCAAAATAACAACTATCTGCAGAATAACCATTGATGAAAAAGACTGGAACCTACCAGAAATGATCTTCTACAACTAAAGTCATAAAGAAGGATCCACAACATGACGGGTAGGAGGGGCAGACTCACGATATAATCAAATCCCATACCCCCAGGGTGGGCGACCCACAAACTGGAGAATAATTATATCACAGAAGTTCTCCCACAGGAGTGAGAGTTCTGAGCCCCACATCAGGCTCCCCAGCCTGGGGGTCTGGCACTGGGGGGAGGAGCCCCCAGAGCAGTTGGCTTTGAAGGCCAGTGGGGCTTTACTGCAGGAACCCCACAGGACTGGGGGAAATACAGACTACACTCTTAAAAGGGCACACACAAAAATCTCATGTGCACTGGGACCCAGGACAAAAGCAGTGATTTGATAGGAGCCTAGGCCAGACCTATCTGCTGGGCCTGGAGACTCTCCTGGAGAGGCGGGGGGGTGGGGTGGTGGGGTGGCTGAAGCTCACCCAGGGGACATACACCCTGGTGGCAGACATACTGGGGAACATTCAACTACATGAACACTCCTGGTGGCTGACATGTTGGATCATTAGTGCCAAGACCTGGCCCCACCCGACAGCCTATAGGCTCCAGTGCTGGGACACCTCAGGCCAAACAACCAGTTGGGCAGAGACACAGCCCCACCCATCAGCAGACAGGCTGCCTAAAGAAGTCCTGACCCACGGCCTCCAGACAAGCCCCTAGACATGGCCCTGCCCATCTGAGGGCCAAGACCCAGCTCCACGCACCAGTGGGCAGGCCCTGGCCCCTCCCACAAGGAATCCTGAACAAGACTCTAAAGCAGGCTCACCCACCAGGGGGCAGACACCAGAAGCAAGAAAACTACAATCCCACAACACAGGCCAGAGACCCTATCCTGGGACCAGCTGGCCCCTGACCCTGCCAAATAGCAGGCCACTGCAACCTCAGAGACACCCAAGACCCCATACCCAACTGTATCAGAAACCAGCCCCCCCTTACCAGTGATCTGAAATGAGCTCTGGGATCCCTGGGCCCAGGAGCCACACTCCAGGAAGCAGCTCTGCCTGCCAGTAATCCAGCACTAACCCCTGCCAGTAGTTGGGCAACAGCCCCAGAGGCTTCGGGACCCTGACTCCGGCCACCAGCGAGCCAGCACTAGCTCCAGGGCCCCCTTGGATTCCACAACCAGCCACCTCGTGACCAGGCCCCACTAAATAGCAACCAGCAGCATCTGCACAAGGCAGGGCCTGGCAACCAACCAGACTAGAAGCCAACTAAGCCTAGCAGACCACCCACATAGTCAGCCCGCCACAACAGAAGGAACCAAACAGCCCTCTTAGGGGGAACACCTAGAGCATATAGCTTGGGTGACAAGAGAGGAGTGCACTGCTGGAACACATAGGATGCCTCCTACAGAGGGCCACTTCTCCAAGGTTGAGAAACGTAACTAACCTACCACAGACATAAAAATACAGATAGCAACTTAGACAAAATGAGGTGGCAGAGGAATAGGTTCCAGACAAAGGAACAAGATAAAACCCCAGAAAAAGAACGAAGTGAAGTGGAGATAGGCAATCTACCCAAGAAAGAGTTCAGAGTAATGGTCGTAAAGATGATCAAAGAACTCGGGAGGAGAATGGATGCACAGAATGAGAAGCTAGTTTTTAACAAAGAGAAAATACAAAGAACAACCAAACAGAGATGGAGAGTACAATAACCGAAATGAAAAATACACTAGAAGGAATCAATAGTAGACCAAATGATACAGAAGAATGCACCAGTGTGCAGGAAGACAGAGTAATGGAAACCACTGCAGCTGAACAGAAAAAAGAGAAAAAGAATGAAAAGAAATGAGGACAGTTTAAGAGATCTCTGGGACAACACCAAGTGCACTAATATTTGCATTATAGGGGTCCCAGAAGGAGAAGAGAGAGACAAAGGGCCTGAGAAAATATTTGAAGAGATAATAGCTAAAAACTTCCCTAACCTGGGAAAGGAAACAGGCACCCAAGTCCAAGAAGCACAGAGAGTCCCATATAGGATGAACGCAAAGAGAAACACACCAAGACACACTGTAATCAAACTTACAAAAATTAAAGATAAAGAGAGAATACTAAAAGCAGCAAGAGAAAAGCAACAAATAATATACAAGGGAACTCCCATAAGGCTATCAGCTGATTTTTCAGCAGAAACTCTGCAGGCCAGAAGGGAGTGACACAGTATATTTAAAGTGATGAAAAAGAAAAACCTACAACCAAGAATACTCTACCCAGCAAGGCTCTCCTTAAGAGAAATCAAAAGCTTTACAGACAAGCAAAAGCTAAACGAATTCAGCACCACCAAATCAGCTTTACAATAAATATTAAAGGAACTTCTCTGGGTGAAAAAGAAAAGGCCACAACCAGAAACAAAATTATAAAATGAAAAAGCTCACCAGTAAAGACAAATAAAGGTAGTATATCATATACAGACAAAACTAGTAGGGAGGTTAAAAGACAAAACTTGTAAAGTCACCTGTATCCACAATAAGCAGTTAAAGGATACAGAAAACAATCAGATGTAAAATATGATATCAAAAACTGTAATCGTGAGCGGAGGAGAGTACAAATACAGGGTATTTAAAATGCACTTGAAATTAAGAGATCAGCAACTTAAGCAATCACATTTATATAGAGACTGTTATACAAAAACCTCATAGTAACTGCAAACCAAAAACCTATAATAGATATACACACAAAAAAGAAAAAGGAATCCAAACATAACACTAAAGGTAGTTATCAAATCACAAGAGAAGAGAACAAAAGAAGAAAAGGGAATAAAAGACCTACAAAAACAAATCCAAAACAATTAACAAAATGGCAATAAGAACATACATATCTATAATTACCTTAAATGTAAATGGATTAAATGCTCTAACCAAAAGACATAGACTGGCTGAATGGATACAAAAACAAGACCTGTATATATGCTGCCTACAAGAGACTCACTTCAGATCTAGAGACACATACAGACTGAAGGTAAGGGGATAGAAAAAGGTATTCCACACAAATGGAAATCAAAAGAAAGCCAAAGTAGCAATACTCATATCAGACAAAATAGACTTTAAAATAAAGACTGTTACAGGAGACAAAGAAGGACACCACATAATGATCAAGGGATCAATCCAAGAAGAGGATATAACAATTGTAAATATTTATGCACCCAACATAGGAGCACCTCAATATACAAGGTAAATATTAACAGATATAAAAGGAGAAATTGACAGTAGCACAATAATAGTAGGGGACTTTAACACCCCACTCACATCAATGGATGGATCATCCAGATAGAATATCAATAAGTAAACACAGGTCTTAAATAACACATTAGACTAAATGAACTTGATACTTGTAGAGCATTCCATCTGAAAGCAGAATACACATTATTTTCAAATGCACATGGAACATTCTCCAGGATAGATTACATGCCAGGCCATAAAACAAGCCTTGGTAAATTTAAGAAAACTGAAGTCATATCAAGCATCTTTTCTAACCACAACACTATGAGATTAGGAATCAACTACAAAAAAAAACTGCAAAAAACACAAACATGTGGAGGCTAAACAATATGCTACTAAACAACCAATGGATCACTGAAGAAATCAAAGATGAAATTAAAATATACCTAGAGACAAATGAAAATGAAAACATGATGATCCAAAACCTATGGGACGCAGCAAAAGCAGTTCTAAGAAGGAAGTTTATAGTGATAGACGCTTACCTCAGGAAACAAGAAAAATCTCAAACAACATAACCTGACACCTAAAACAGGTTAGAGAAAGAAGAACAAACAAAACCCCAAGTTAGTAGAAGGAAAGAAATCATTAAGGTCAGAGCAGAAATAAAATAGAGACTAAAAAAACAATAGAAATAAATGAAATGAAGAGCTGGTTCTTTGAAAAACAAAATTGATAAACCTTTAGCCAAACTCATCAAGAAAAAAAGGGAGAGGGCCCAAATCAATAAAATCAGAAGTGAAAAAAGAGAAGCTAAAACCAACACCACAGAAATACGAAGGATCATAAGAAACTACTATGAGCAACTATACGGCAATAAAATGAACAGCCTAGAAGAAATGGAAAAATTCTTAGAAAGGTACTATCTCCCAAGACTGAACCAGGAACAAATAGAAACTATGAACAGACCAATTACCAGTACTGAAATTGAATCAGTAATTTAAAAACTCCCCACAAACAAAAGACCAGGACCAGATGGCATCACAGATGAATTCTACCAAACATTTAGACAAGAGTTAACAGCTATCCTTCTCAAACTATTCCAAAAAAGTGCAGAGGAAGGAACACTTCCAAACTCATTCCATGAGGCCACTATCACCCAGATACCAAAACAGAACAAAGATATCTCAAAAAATAAGAAAATTACAGGCCAATATCACTGATGAACATAGATGCAAAAATCCTCAACAAAATTCTAAAAACTGACTCCAACAAAAAACTGACTCCAACAATATATTATAAGGATCACACACCATGATCAAGTGGGATTTATCCCAGGGATGCAAGGATTTTTCAATATCTTCAAATCAATGTGATACACCACATTAACAAATTGAAGAATAAAAACCATACGATCATCTCAATAGATACAGAAAAAGCTTTTGATTAAAGTCAACATCAATTTATGATAAAAACTCTCCAGAAAGTGGGCATAGAAGAAACATACCTTAACATAATAAAGCCCATATATGACAAACTCACAGCTAAACATCTTACTCAACAGTAAGAAGCTGAAAGCATTCCCTCTAATATCAGGAACAAGACAAGGATGTCCACTCTCACCACTTTTACTCAACATAGTTTTGGCAATCCAAGCCACAGCAATCAGAGAAGAAAAAGAAATAAAAGGAATCCAAATTGGAAAGAAAGAAGTAAAACGGTCACTGCTTGCAGATGACATGATACTATACATAGAAAATCCTAAAGATGCCACCAGAAAACTACTAAAGCTCATCAATGAAGTTGCAGGGTACAAGATTAATATACAGAAATCTGTTGCATTTCTATACACTAACAATGAACTATCAGAAAGAGAAATTAAGGAAACAATCCCACTTACTATCACATCAAAAAGAATAAAATACCTAGGAATCAACCTACCTAAGGAGGCAAAAGACCTGTACTCCAAAAACTATAAGACACTGATGAAAGAAACTGAAGATGACACAAACAGATGGAAAGATATGCCATGTTCTTGGATTGGAAGAATTAATATTGCTAAAGAGACCATACTACCCAAGGCAATCTACAGATTCAATGCAATCCCTATCAAATTACCAATGGCATTTTTCACAAAACTAGAACAAACATTTTTACAATTTGTATGGAAACACAAAAGACTACAAATAGCCAAAGCCATCTTGAGAAAGAAAAACAAATCTGGAGGAATCAGGCTTCCTGACTTCAGACTTTACTACAAAGCTACAGTCATCAAAACAGCATGGTACTGGCACAAAAACAGATGCATAGATCAATGGAACAGGATAGAAAGCCCAGAAATAAACCCATGCACTTATCATCAATTAATCTACGACAAAGCAGGCAAGAATATACAGTGGAGAAAAGACAGTCTCTTCAATAAATGGCGTTGGGAAAATTGGACAGGTACATGTAAAAGAATGAAATCAGAATATTCTTGAACACCATATCCAAAAATAAACTCAAAATGGATTAAAGACCTAAATGTAAGACCAGATACTATAAAACTCCCAGCAGAAAACATTGGCAGATCACTCCTTGACATAAATTGCAGCAATATTTTTTTGGATCCGTCTCCTAGAGTAATGGAAACAAAAGCAAAAATAAACAAATGGGCCCTAATTAAACTTGAAAACATTTGCACAGCAAAGGAAATCATTTTAAAAAATGAAAAGACAGCCTATGGACTGGGAGAAAATATTTGCAAATGATGTGACTGACAAGGGATTAATTTTCAAATACACAAACAGCTCATACAGCTCAATAGCAAAAAAACAAACAACCCAATCAAAAAATAGGCAGAAGACCTATATAGACATTTCTCCAAAGAAGACATACAAATGGCCAACAGGCCCATGAAAAGATGCTCAACATCACTAATTATTAGAGAAATGCAAATCAAAACTACAATGATGTATCACCTCACACCAGTTAGAATGGGCATCATCAAAAAGTCTACGAATAATAAATGCTGGAGAGGGTGTGGAGAAAAGAGAACCCTCTTACACTGTTGCTGGGAATGGAAATTGGTGTGGCCACTATGGAGAACAGTATGGAGGCTCCTTAAAAAACTAAAATAGAACTACCACATGACCCAGCAATTCCACTCCTGGGCATATATCCCGAAAAGACAAAAACTCTAATTTGAAAAGATACATGTACCCCAATGTTCATGGCAGCACTATTCACAATAGCCAAGACATGGAAGCAAAATGCCCTAAATGCCCATCTACAGGTGAATGGGTAAAGAAGATGTGAGATACACACACACACACACACACACACACACACACACACACACAATTGAATATTACTCAGCCATAAAAAATAATGAAATAATGCCATTTGCAGCAACATGGATGGACCTAGAGATTATCACACTAAGTGAGGTAAGTCAGAGAAAGGTAAATACCATATGATATCACTTATATGTGGAATCTAAAAAAATTATACAAATGAACTTATTTACAAAACAGAAACAGACTCACAGACATAGAAAACAAATTTATGGTTACCAAAAGGAAAGGGGCGGGGAGGGATAAATTAGGAGTTTGGGGTTAACAGATACATACTACTATATATAAAATAGATAAACAAGGACCTACTATATAGCACAGGGAACTATATTTAATATCTTATAATAACCTATAATGGAAAAGAAACTGAAAAAGTACATATATAACTGAATCTCTTACTGTACATCTGAAACTAACACAACATTGTAAATCAACTATACTTCAATTAAAAAAAAAAGAATCAAACTAACTGGACTTGTTACACAGTCCTATTCAAAGTGATGAAGTTGAGGCTCTGTAAGACCTTCAAGGTACCTTTTGAATTACCCATGGCCTCTGATTTGTCTTCTGAACCAGACCATGAAAAAAAGAAATTCTAGTCATTTTGATTTTGTATGGAACTTTTACACGGAGCTTATTTTTTTTTACTATCATTCTTTGAAATTGGTAAATATTAGTTCATCAGAAGAAGCACCATTCCTTGATCAGTGCAGCTGAGTAGAAATTTTTCATTTCCACGGAAAACATGACGCACAATTCCTTCTGTCTCATAAAACAACTGCTAGGCCTTCCCTGGTGGCACAGTGGTTGAGAGTCCGCCTGCCGATGCAGGGGACACGGGTTCGTGCCCCGGTCCGGGAAGATCCCACATGCTGCGGAGCGGCTAGGCCCATGAGCCGTGGCCGCTGAGCCTGCGCGTCCGGAGCCTGTGCTCCGCAACCGGAGAGGCCACAACAGTGAGAGGCCCGAGTACAGCAAAACAAAAAACAAAAAACAAAAAGCAACTGCTATCCATGGGTCTGCTGGCCAGAGAGCTTCTGAACAACAGCTTACCTGCCCCCGTGGTTGTCACTTCTGGCTTGGCTGGAGGAACAAAGGGAGGCCAGTGTGATGGATGTTTCTGAACTAATTCAAACATCCTTAAATTCTCCTTTAGAATTTCCTGAGGAGACATAGAAACAGTTGTAAACACTGCAGAGTCACTACATACCTGCCCAGTTGGCAGTATATGACTCCAAACCCTAAGAGAGTGGCCTGGCTGTTGAAAGGTGAAAGCAAAGGCTTAGCAAATACACCCATCCTCTACTTGACCCGTCTGAAGACCCAGCTCTCTTCAATTCTAGATACTGTTGGCCAGGAAGGAAGGACGCTGGAGGGAGGATCTGATGGAAGGCCAGTACTCACTGCCCATGCTCCATCATGAGGTCTTACGCCAGTTGCATGGAACCAACTCAATTTAGGGGTGAGATGTTCCTGAAGTGTTGGCTCCAAAGAAATGTTGGTTAGTCAAGTTAAATCTGCCCCCAAAGAATATTGGTACATATTGGCATGGTTTTAGTTTCAATCCAAGATGTATGATATATGTCCTAATTTAAATAGCATAGTCTTATCAGAAAATTTTCTTTCTAACATTAAATGTGATATACAGTTTTGCGGCATTCTGAAATGTAAGTAATGCCTTTAGAAAATAATTCTCCATTATGTCTCAGCCAATTATTAACTGCGGTTTCAGATTCAGCTGGGGACTTTAGTGTTAATTATTTGTTCACCTGCAAAGAAAAATCTTCCCTCCTTACACTTACAAGAGGCTCTGAGATCCCATCTCTCCAACCCCTCTGTTTTGCAGATAAGAGAACATGATGTCTCCTGCCACCCCATCCAGGGCTCTTTAAACTACTCCCTATGATTTCCCCTCATTCTTTCAATAACAGTTGATCAATATCTTCCACATAATTGGCATGTGTTAGAAGCAAAGGATGAGGGAGGCAGATACAAAAGTTGTGAGCCAGCAAAATGATAAATACCCTCTGACATAAAATGCCAAAAAGAAAGAATAACTTGCTTTCGTATTTACACAGATTTCTGCAAACTGTGTTTGCTTTAAGTGGCAGTGTGCCTATATTTTATATAAATAAGACAGTTAATAGAAAGGCAAGCCCCTTAAACCATAATGGAACACATTAAACTGTAAATGGACACGAAACAAATAGAAAAGTAGTTTGGCTTCTTCAACCATCTCAGTGTTACAAACAGAGTAAGGAAGAATTTAGGCTGAGCTATATGAAATTGGCATTTTTAAGTTAAAATGGTAGAATATTAGTTGAATATTTCATTGACTCACGGGCTCAATGAGATGGAACATTCAGTAGTTAAAAATATCGCTCACCTGACACACTAAGCATATTGCAAACCAAAGTTTTCCTTTAGTTTCCCCAAAGTTATGTACAATTCCCCACATCCTAGTTTCTTTCTTTTGCAATAAAGTCATATCAGGCTGGATTTATGTTACTATGAAAAACCGTCTTGAAAAGGAATTATATTGAATAACACTTGTTTTTTAAGACTAAGAAAAACATACATCTTTACCTTCTGAACAAGGCTACACCAGCTATCAAAGTCTTTTTCTTCTTTGCAGAAAAATCCCTTGGGGGAAAGCAAAAGAAGACAACTTAGAACTGGTCAGGGGCACCCAGGCAGGCCCTTTGTATTGCAAGATGGAGCCGTTGGCCCGGAGTTGTGAAGTAGGATGTGGGCCACTTCCTTTGGATGTGTCCTCCCAGCAACAAGGAGGAAGAGTGTCTGAGCTTATCTCTCTTCTAGATCAGTGCCTCACTTGGACACACACATCTGCTCATTCATCTTCATATTTTCTCTCTCTCTCTGCCTCTTTCTCTTATTCTGTCCCTTTCCCTTTTACCCTGTCCCTTTCCCTCCCTGATCCTCTCCCTTCACACGGTGAGATACAGTAACTTGAAAACCAATCTCCAAAGCACAGGGTTACTTCCATTACATTCAGTGCACAAATATACCTACGTATAAAAAACGATCCATTAAAACCAGCAAACAAAAGCCAAATAGTACTTTTAGCTAGAGGCATTACTTAACAAGGTGGCTTTGACCTTAAGGAAATTATCTTTTAGAATAAAGAGGTGGTGGTGTGATGAATTGGGAGATTGACATTGATATATATATACACTAATGTGTATAAAATGGATAACTAATGAGAACCCGCTGTATAAAAAATCAAATCAAATAAAATTCAAAAAGAAAAGTCAGGGACGTCCCTGGTGGTTAAAAAAAAAAAAAGGAATAAAGAGAACCATCAGCCTCCTTCCCCATCCTCAGAACCATCCTACAGCACTAAAAGAATGGTCCAAAACAAGAGGAGGACTCTGTCAGCTCTCCATCACTGGCCCTCCGACAATTGGGTTAAACTGGTAGAGAGGATGCAGACAGGCCTCAGAACAACTGGCTACTTCCCAGGCAGCTGTCCCTTCCATGTGTGGACGGCAGTCATATTTCCAGCAGGGGAAAGCCTGCAGCTTCCTGGATTGTGTGCCCAGAGGAATGGACATTGTCCACCCAGGAGGTCTTGCCTCCTTATCCCTCCTTCCCTATGTCTCACCTTATTCCCGGTGCCCGGATAGCAATATTTAGAGGGCAAGAAGGAAAAGGGGGAAAGATGGTAACACTGGTCGTGACTAACATTTCTAGAATGCTTACAACACGCCAGGCACTGTGCTATGTGCCTTACACATAGTGTACTCATACAGCCATGCAAGGAAGGAACTACCGTTTTGCCCACTGGAGAGATGAGAAGGCCGAAGCTAAGAAAAGTTAAGGGACTCCCCCTAAGTCCATGGCTGGTAAGCGGCTTCGATCCTAACTCGGCTTCAGGGCCCATTCCTTCCCCACTACACCACACGACACTACCTCTCGTGGGGGTGGGGAGCGAACATTCTTTTGCCGCCCTACCTAACAACCTGGATAACTTCCAGGGAGCCAAACTGTGATAGGGCAGCGTTGTGTCTCTTGGGCCACCCAACCTTCAGATACCCACCAATGCTACGGAAGGATCCAAGTTCAGGATGTTCATTCGCTGTGGAGGTTGCAGACAATGGAAAGTCTGGTCGTCAACCGTCCCGTTCTCCTCAGTGTCAACAAAGGTCTGGGTTGTGTGAGGGTCCAGGAAAATGAGCTCATCACCTGTTTTGAATGAGACATGCTTAACCTTCGAAGAACCACCGGCCCTGGCCACACTGCTGTCCTTGGGATGAGGCGCTCTGGTTGTCCTAACCCCTCCCTTGGTGACAATGAGAATGAGATGACAGAAAGCCTGAAGGAGGGTGACCATGCTTGAAGGAAGCCACCCACGCCCAAAGCCAATCATTCAATGCGAAGACTTGCCCTAGCATTTATATCTCCTCAAAGCCCAAGTCCAAAAGTGGAAAGGCACAGGTTTGGGGAAAGGGGGGAATGAGCGACCACAGATGACATGGCGGGCTCGGTGAGCAGCAGTAGCCATGAGTCCAGGTGCCATCAGGGAGCTTCCTGACCCTTTCAACACTGGAAAGCCTCTTGCTCTAGACCATTGGTTCTTAGACCTATGGTCAAAGAGCACATCTGGGAAGGAAAAAGGCCTTGGCCTCCAAAGGAAATGGGAATGCTGACTCTGCCATGGGTGAGACACCAGGGAGCTGACTTCTGGTCTTAATTCGCTAGCAAGTTAGTCATTGTTAGCAAGTCAGTAAGTCCTGTCAGAAAGCACTGCCTTGGTCGCAGTAATATCAGTACACATACGCCTTGCTGGGAAAACTCACTTTGAGATTGGTCGACCGTTACAAATTGGAGAAAAATGCTGCTTCATTAAATTGAAAAAGTCTAGCCCAATAATGATCTGGGGGGAGTATGGGATAATAAAATCTCTACTTTTATCTAATGTTCAAAGGGTTGAGAGTCCCTCTAACGCTCATCAGCAGCATACCGAGTAGGCTGACGTACCTAAGGGGTCACCCCAACCTCGCTGTCCAGGCCTGAGAACCATCTGGGCCTCTGTGTTCTAGACTGGGTTAAGCAAGCAAAGAGAGAGATCTGCCTGAGGCAGGAGGATGGGGTGGGAAGGGACACCCCGAAGACACTCTCTGAAATGGCACCCAGGATTCTTCTGCGTACATCTAAGTGCTTCTGTTGGCAAAGAGTGTTTCTGATGTCTGATGCCAAGTTTAACTTATCTCTGTCGCAGACCTAGGACAAACCACTTCACTCTGTCTTAATTTTCTTGCTTTTAAACTGGGGTCACTGGGTCTGTTCCAGTTACCTCACAGGGTATTATCAGAATGAGAAGATCTCACCTCTGTGAACTGCTTAAAACACAATACAAACGCAAGGTAGTCATAGATGTACCTTGCTGAGACTCAAAAGGATTTCCTACAAATACATGTTTAAGAGCATATGGAAATCAATGCCCCCATATGGCTTGCTTTAGGAAAGGCAAGGTACATATTCCCCCAGACCACAGGCGGGTGAGACCAGTTATAGCAAAAAAGCCTCAAGGCTCAATGAAGAGCAACAACCAGAATGTTTAGAGGAAAGCCTACCTAAGACCATAGAAAGGGAAGGGGAGAAGGAAGCTGTGCACGAGAAAATGCGACTCCAAAGCAGGATTAGGACCGAGCGTTCTGCCAGTTTTGAGTTAAGGTACTGGGAATAATAGCAGTGTCCTCTCTGACTCTGGCCCTTTCCCGTGTGTGTGTGTGTGTGTGTGTGTGTGTGTGTGTGTGTGTGTGTGTGTGTGTGTGTGTGTGTGTGTGTGTGTGTAGTGGAGCTCTGTGGGCTGCCCTATTTCTGAGAGTGCTTAAAAGAGATACAGTAGATCAAAAAAGTCCTAGAGAGGGCTTGCCTGGTGGTGCAGTGGTTGAGAGTCCGCCTGCCGATGCAGGGGACACGGGTTCGTGCCCCGGTCCAGGAGGATCCCGCGTGCCGCGGAGCGGCTGGGCCCGTGAGCCATGGCGGCTGAGCCTGCGCGTCCGGAGCCTGTGCTCCACAACGGGAGAGGCCACAGCAGTGAGAGGCCCGCGTACCACAAAAACAAACCAAAAAAAGTCCTAGAAATGATATGGGGACTAAATCAAGGTCTCTAATGAGGCCCAAGAAGAAGTGGCAGGCAGGTCCACCATCTGCAGACACTGGGCTCATGCGACAGATCTCCAGGTGGCATCCTCCACCAAAGCACAGGGGACGAGCATTCTAAGCAGAGAAAAATCTCCCAGCCAGTCTCTCACCCTGGCCATAGTCCTGTGCACCAGGAGCTTCTCCCAGCTTCCCACCGGGCAAGAGGGCACTCGGGAAGCAATGTGGTGTGGTGGGCAGGGACGGCCAAATTGGGATCGAATCCTGGCTTTGCTACTTTTGAGCTCAGTAACCTTGAGTAAACAACCCCTCTAAGTCTTCCGCTAGGCATAAATGGAAATAATGATCTCTACCTCACAGGGGTGTTGTGCTAACTCTATCAATCAATCAATCTAAAGCTATACATCTCTACATAACTCTCGATATTAATCTATATCTCTCTATACATGTATATATATTTTAATATATAATTGTATATTATATAATATAAATTATATATTTATATATAACATAGGAAACAATATATTATAATGACAAGTAATATAAATATATATATTTTTATACATGGAGAGAGAGAGAGAAAGAGGGGGAGAGAGATTGAGAGAGAACCCTCTGCAGAGTCCCTTGTTCAGAAAATGGCAGTTCTCATCTGTCCCCTCCCTTCAGACATTCTGCCAATCCAGACTCTCCCCACCTGAGCCTAATACAGTAAGGGGGTAAGTCAGAAAATGGGAGTTGAGGGGAGTTTGGAGCCTCAAGTGAAGGTTAAACAAAGGATTTATGGACATTAGCGGGCAAATGGGCACTATGTAAACCTCTGTCTTGGGAACTGAGGATTGCCCACACCTCTTTCAAAAGTAGTCCAACTCCACCAATGTCTCCCCGACCCAGTGGCCTCAGGAAACAGGAGGGCTATGCCAGCTTGGCAAATTCTCTCTGGGTAACTTGGGATAAAGGAGGCCAGGGTGCCCAGGATTCACTGAGATCCCTCCAAAATTATTTTCCAGTGTTTCTACCTTTTCCTCAAGCACGGACAATAGGAAATATATTTTTGCTACATTTTCTTTGACAGGAACCCAAAAGTTTAGAAACAGAGAACATCTAAATTTATAACACTCTAAATACTGGGGTTTGTACTTAGAAAAAGAAAAGCCTCCACTTTCCGAATGTTCCATCAAGCTGTAGTTCTTAGCATAGACCAGTAGATGGCAGCATTCGAGAGAGCCCCAGCAACTGTGGAGAAACCCTACCTTAAAGAGAGAAAGAGCGCTAGTAGTTTTCTGGTAGCATCTTTAGGGCTCTCTATGTATAGGATCATGTCATCTGCAAACAGTGACAGCTTTACTTCTTCTTTTCCAATTTGGATTCCTTTTATTTCCTTTTCTTCTCTGATTGCTGTGGCTAAAACTTCCAAAACAATGTTGAATAATAGTGGTGAGAGTGGGCAACCTTGTCTTGTTCCTGATCTTAGTGGAAATGCTTTCAGTTTTTCACCATTGAGGATGATGTTTGCTGTGGGCTTGTCATATATGGCCTTTATTATGTTGAGGAAAGTTCCCTCTATGCCTACTTTCTGCAGGGTTTTTATCATAAATGGGTGTTGAATTTTGTCAAAAGCTTTCTCTGCATCTATTGAGATGATCATATGGTTTTTCTCCTTCAATTTGTTAATATGGTTTATCACATTGATAGATTTGCGTATATTGAAGAATCCTTGCATTCCTGGAATAAACCCCAATCCAAAAATGGGCAGAAGACCTAAATAGACATTTCTCCAAAGAAGATATACAGACTGCCAACAAACACATGAAAGAATGCTCAACATCATTAATCATTAGAGAAATGCAAATCAAAACTACAATGAGATATCATCTCACACCAGTCAGAATGGCCATCATCAAAAAATCTACAAACAATAAATGCTGGAGAGGGTGTGGAGAAAAGGGAACCCTCTTGCACTGCTGGTGGGAATGTGAATTGGTTCAGCCACTATGGAGAACAGTATGGAGGTTCCTTAAAAAACTACAAATAGAACTACCATATGACCCAGCAATCCCACTACTGGGCATATACCCTGAGAAAACCAAAATTCAAAAAGAGTCATGTACCAAAATGTTCATTGCAGCTCTATTTACAATAGCCCGGAGATGGAAACAACCTAAGTGCCCGTCATCAGATGAATGGATAAAGAAGATGTGGCACATATATACAATGGAATATTACTCAGCCATAAAAAGAAACGAAATTGAGCTATTTGTAATGAGGTGGATAGACCTAGAGTCTGTCATACAGAGTGAAGTAAGTCAGAAAGAAAAAGACAAATACCGTATGCTAACACATATATATGGAATTTAAGAAAAAAATGTCATGAAGAACCTAGGGGTAAAGCAGGAATAAAGACACAGACCTCTTAGAGAACGGACTTGAGGATATGGGGAGGGGGAAGGGTGAGCTGTGACAGGGCGAGAGAGAGTCATGGGCATATACACACTAACAAACGCAGTAAGGTAGATAGCTAGTGGGAAGCAGCCGCAAGGCACAGGGATATTGGCTCGGTGCTTTGTGACAGCCTGGAGGGGTGGGATGGGGAGGGTGGGAGGGAGGGAGACGCAACAGGGAAGACATATGGGAACATATGTTTATGTATGACTGATTCACTTTGTTATAAAGCAGAAACTAACACACCATTGTAAAGCAATTATACCCCAATAAAGATGTTAAAAAAAAAAAAAAAAAAAGAGCGAGCAGAGGAAAGAGGCGCTGGGGTCAGGCTGGCTCTTTTTGCTGAGTGCTTTCCTGTGAGGGGACAACATGGTGAGCTGGGGGTCAGCCCTATCTTCCATAAAGGGAACTTGAGACTGAAAGAGCTGACGCTCTTTTCCTGCTGGCACACAGCTAGCTAGCCAGTGGGAGACTGACCACATACAGGGCTGGGTCTGTTTCCACCCACCCCACCTCCATGAATCTCCGAGGAGGAGATGAGTGGGGAGGTGACCAAGCCCATCTCACTCAGTCCTCTGCACATGCCTCAGGCCGTTCCCCACGCCTGCTCTGGCTCTCCCTTGCACTCTAAGCTCATAGCTTCCTCGAAGCCCACTCCTGCGAGAGGTGTCCCGTATCCCACTTCCCTCACCGCATCACTCCCTTACTCTGCAGCACTAAGCAGGTGTCTAGGCCCTTGGTACTCAAAGTGTGGCACCAGCAGCACCGGCACTACCTAGTTAGAAATGCAGGCTCTCAGGCTCCACCCCAGAACTGCTGAACCCACATTATAATAGGCTCTCAAGGTGATTCATGTGCACATTAAAGTTTGAGAAGCACCGGGCTAGCTCCCGTTGTGTGCCAAGGGCCTTAAATGTCTCTGGTCACAGCTAGTGAGTGGCTGGGTTTCCAGAGGCATCTACTGAGGCAGGTAATGCCGGGCTGCTCATCAGGATCTACATTAGGAGGTTAGTCGTTTTAAGGCTTAGCCTCCAGTATCAGGAAAGGGATACCTCTGTCTTCGCCTCCTCTTATTCTCACCAGAGTCAGGGCTCTGAACGATAAGCTAGCAACCCAAGCTGCATGAGCCTAGGAAGCCCGAGGACGGCTCCTAGCCTGAACGCCCGAGCCCCAGTAAGAGGGGTATCGGCAAGGCCAGGGGAGTGAAGCCCTGCCACCCTGGGCGCCACAGGAAAGAGAGACAGGTGCTGAAGCAATGCTATGACCTTGGGGCCGTCCAGTGGGAAAGCAGCCACGGAACCATCTTGTTAAGAGGCAATGAAGCAGAGGCACTGAAGGGGGATCTGCTCTCTGTCAGGCACAGGTAAACACTACTCTCCAGGCCAGAGACAAGATGAGCTGCCCAGAGGCCACAGCATCTCCAGGCTAGGTGAGGGCCCCCTAAAACTGGAATTGCCTGGTCTCCCGTGCAGACCTTCTGCCCACCCTCCCCTAGCCCATGATGACTTACTTGTGATTCCTCTTTTCTTACCTAAGAATCCTATGAAATAATAGGCGTTATTTGGTTTTCCTCCTAATGCCCCTAAAGACTGTGGCATCTTAAAACACTCCTGGAGGGAAAGAGAACGCAAGATTCTCAGCTCATGTGTGGACTGCTGCTCACGGATCTCCGTGCTCACATGGCGGTGGGATGGGCGGGCAGCAAGCGGCTTGGGGAAAGGTGCGACTTACTTTGAAGGCGTCGACATAGACAGGATTGATTTGGTTTATGCCCAGGCGGAGGGGCACAATGAGCAGCAAGGGTTTCCAGGCTGGAGAGCAGGCAGAGGGGCCCTTACTCTGGGTCGAAGCATTCAGAGACTCAGGGGGGCTCTCGGCAGCTGTTTCAGCACTCAAGGGGAGGGTGTGGCACATTTTTTCTAGAAACAGAAGACGAGAGAGCTGGGTAAATAAGGGGCATCCAGCCCTAGGAGATGTGCCAAGGGCAAAACCAAAGGAGATCTCACATGACAGCCGCTGCCTGGAAGGCCCTTCCCCCGGCCACCGGGGCCCTGCTGCCCGACCTCCTACAGGAAGCCCAGGCCACTCCTCCAGCCCTTACTTCTCCTCCTTCTGGCAACTGAACACTCACTTACCTCTTGTCAGATATTATGGGCTCACTGGGAGAATCTCATTTCTCAACCAGACTGCCAGGGCCTTGGAAACAGGGACTGTATCTGTTGGTCCCTCTAACCCCGTGGCAGGGAGCACAGGGGGGCTGCCACAGAAGACCTGTCAGTGGTTTAACGGATTACCCGCACTTGGGGAGTCCTGCAGGGAAAGGGTCTGGTGCCTCACTGAGGGGCAGCAGAGATCCTCTAATTGTTTTCTCCCTTTCAGAAAGCTGAAAGGGAAGAGAAGAAGGGGCACAGGGAATGATTAACCGGAGCCCGGTGCTCCCCTGTCCTGCTAGATGGGCAGGCCAGAGAGTCGTGGGGTGGGGGAATGGGGGTGTGTATGTATCTCCTTTCTCTTTTTCTCCCTCGCTTTCTGTCTTTCTCTCCCACCACGCCCCACACACATTCTGAATGGTGAGGAAGAACCGCATCACCCAGCCACCCGAGAATGTAAACTGGCCCGGGACTCACTGATATCTTCAATAACCACGGTGTTATCCATTGAAACATAAACAGCCAAGGAATTCCATTCATCAAATAAAGCAAGTTTTCTGCAAAGCAACATACAATGAAGTCACAATTGGGGAAGGTGGACATCTCGGCAGGAAGCAGTACAACCTATGTATGCCCAGCGTTCCTGAAGTTACTGAACACTGAGCCACAGAGAAGTTGGGATTCAGGTCAGGTCTGGCTCCCTTGACTGAGCTCTGGAACATTCTATGTCCAGGGACCTTGAGAATGCCAGAGGCACTGTTTCCGCACCTCAAACATAAGGCCTGCTTTACAAAATGCAAAAGGCTGCCTTGCTAAATAATGTTACTCCTACTGGGCGAGAGAGATAGGTTACCAGTGCATCTTCTCCCAAGAGATTTTGTTTTCTTTTCTTAAATAAGAGACATTCTGACTTACTCCTTCTTTCAAAAAAAGAAAACTGTTATTAATATACACATATATATATTTGTTTAGAAGCATACATAATACAAACAATAAGTTCTAGGGAAATCCAGGGAGGGGGGAGAGAGAGAGAGAGAGGTGATCTCTTCTGTCCCTTCCCACATGCGGTAAGGATGCTGTCCCAGGAGACTTGGGCCACAGATGGCTTCAGTGCCGGGCCTTGCTGGTCAACAGCTGAAGACAGAGCATGCTGAAGTGCATGACTTCAGAGGAGACTAGAAAGAAAACCCCTTTAAAAGAGAGATTATCTGATGTCTGAGTAAAGTACCTTGTCTATCTCTCCCTTATTTCTTTCTCCTCTTGCCAGTATGAAGAAGACATGTTTACCCTGGCTACTCTGGAATTCTGCAGTAAAGCCCAGTCTCAATGGCCGACGAAACAAAACAAAACAAAACAAAACAAAAGACACATTCTCTCCCAGACCAAAGTAACTCTCAAGAAGAGGTTAATTACCATTATATTTTAATTTCATTTAATGTAGTATCTTTCCCCCAAAATAATAATGACGACATCACCATCATCTACTGTTGTTAATAACAATCACGATGACTCAGAACCCACTTAAGTTCTTTAAAAATGTATGTTTCCATTTGCTTGTTGTGGGAAGCTCAAAATTTAGAAGAAAGAAGCAAATTCTGAGGGATGTCATTTATAAACCAACCATATCAAGCTAGGCTTGGGGCTCGGCACAGCCATTCTAATCTTCTTCACTTTATGTCCTGGGTTCCTACAGTGGTTCCCGAAATACCACCAGATCCTCACTCAGCAGATCAACACCCCAAAAACCACTACGGACCAAGGTAAGAAAGTGGTCTCAGAGAGGCTGCACTGTTAGCAGAGTAATGCAAAGATACAGGTTTCACTTGGGTCCCCAGGAAGTCCAGACTACTCCCCTCAAAAGCACATTTACAAAGCATTCCAGTTCATTGAAGGTTGGCTAATAATTGAAACAGTGCCCCATCTGTATTTTGCATGGAGCAGGTCCCATCATCACACGCCAGAGAGCCAGGAATTGAAGTAGCTACCAAAGGAGGCTAGACGGTTTCAATTTTCTGATGCCTAAATCCAGCCCCAGATTCTATCTGCCATTTTCATTCATTCATTCATCGAGTATTTATTGAGCACTTACATGTGCCAGGCAGTTTCATGTGCTAATATTACAGGAGTGAACGAGGCAAATACAATCTCTGCCCTCATGGAGTTCCCATTTGGTGATAGGTTGTCAGAAAGGAGAGTGACAATAGGTGAGGTGGCCTGCAGGTGTAGGTGCTGATGCCACTCACCCCATTCATTTCCAAAGCATTGGTCCTGGCCTCTCCATGTCACCTCTTGCTGTGGGAGGTGAATTCTGAGACTTAACAGGACAATTGTGAAAGTACCATGCTGGGGTACCTTGAGTCTCCTAAGAGATGACAAACTGATTCTAAGACTCCCTTGAGGTTTGTCTCCTCTAATAGGTGGTGAGGTCCTTGAAGCAAGAACTACACCTAGTTTATTTCTGTGCACTCAGTACTTAGGGCAACAGAGCCACCCAGTAAATGTTGAATGAATCAGTGAAGAATTTTTTTTTTATATACCATACAGGGTGGGAGTCTGTGTCTTGCCTAGGCTGGCTCAGGCTTCCCCACTTAGTGCAAACCCTTTGGCTTCAAAGTGACCCTCAGGCTGACGGCTGAGCACGTGAGCACCAATCTACAAGTGGGATACAGAATGAGTCCTGAGGGGCCTCCCCATAGACTGATACCAATGACTATAACTGTGATTTACCAAGACAGTTGCCCACACACATTATACATTTCAAAGAACTATCTGAGCAAAATGGTACAGATGCTTGGTGGCTTAGTGGGATGGCAGGAACAGCTGGGTTGATGGGATGTTGAGTTGGTGGAGGGAGGCATAGGAGATGGTAGCATAAGGCGCATGACAGACTCTTTTACTTACTTTAACACCTGTGCAACTGTATTTGGTCCAAACCATTCGCCAATTGATTTCCCTTCTCCTACACCCATCTGTGCTGTTTTTATGTGGAAAAATAATAAACAGGTTAGCAAACCACCAACTCCTAATTTTTTGCATAAATAAGTAGATGGGGTGACTTAGTAGAGCCACATATAAAGCAGGGAACAAGAAAAGCAAGTACAGCAATGTAAGCTGAATTTCACATACAATGTTCCTTTCCTCTTAATTGAACTACAGAACAGAGAGACAGCCTTTAAACTACTCATGTGACCTTACCCATTTGATGGATAGAGTAGCAACAGTCTTTTCTATCTAGGAAGCACTGTAGGATTCGTTGGTATTCTTTGGGTTGTTCTTTCTGTCTCTCCCAGTTCCAGTCTTTTTAGGAAAAAGAAAAAATGAGTTAAAATCATTTTTATAACTGCTTGTTATCTCTGCACTCTTACTGGGACTACGAGGTTAGAAGGAAAACAAAAGAGTCACATGTAGAAGGTGGGAGCGATCAGGTCAGAACATTCCTAAGGATCTTTAATGTTGATGACCAAGACATCTGGAAACTGATTTCTTTCAAAGACTCACTGGGTATAAAGTAAAAGCAAAACAAGAAGTTGACCAAGGAATTGACTTAGCCCACGAGCTTGAGTTGTATAAATATTACATGAAGACAGTGTCACAAGGCCTTTCTGGTCAGCTACTCAGTGAACAGGAGGTCACCACAAAACCTGGCAGTATATCCGTGTCTCACCCAGACGCTGTTATGTCTCATGTCCACACAGACAGCAATGGCTTTGGTTCGTATATTTTGGCAGCATTGCCCACAGAGTCTCACGGGGGGAAGTGCTCTTCTGACACACACCTATTCCCAGGGGAATACACACAATTTGCAACTAAGGAAGCTTTTTTTTTTAAATGCATGCTGCCATTTTTACACAACCTTTTAAAAAGGCCACGATGAGTTTTGGAAAAACAAGTACCTTTGTTATCAGGTGTTCCAGGTTTCCTTATGACCAAAACTAAAATAAGTACCTCTGTGGGGATCCCATCTGTGCCTCAGGCACAGCCCCCCCAAATCCGATAGGGGCTGCTTATCGCTTACTGAGGACAACTGCAAAAACTCTCGTTGTCACTGCTGTGGACAGGACGCACTATTCCCATTCCCTCAGCTCTAGGAACTCTGTCTAATGGGACAGATTTCTGAGACTTAGTTTCCTTCCAAGACAGAAGTTTCTCTCCTGAGGTTTTAGAGAGCATTTGAATTCACAACTGAAATCTACTTGAAGCCAAAGGCCACTATCTCCAGAGTCTTTAGTTCTCTTCGCTTCTAGTATTTCTGAAACCAAAGTTTTAAACTTCGTATCCAGCAGTCTTCAAAGGGTGAAGAACACCCAAATGTTTTTCATCAGCTACCAAACTGTCCAAGTCTGGGGGAAACCCTGATTGGCTGGCTTCTAAGTACCACTAAATATTTACTGATGACAGTGATAAGTGAACACCCCACCTCAACTGTAAAATAACCAAATAGGAAACACTCCAAAATATTTCTTTATAAAATTACATCTTCTCATTCGTCTTAGCTACAAGATCTATTTACACATTCTTCCTGCTACTTGCTTTTATATTAAGACAATTGAGATTGCTGACTGTGGGTTTTTTCCCCCAGTTTGCTTTCCACAAAATTCACTTCCAGAAGAATCATCTTGAGGTGTTTCATAAATGAGAAAGTTAAACAGTAAGAACAATCTGCTCCAAGAAGTATGTGTACAGTAGAGAAATCACTGGACAAGGAGACAGAAGACCTGCATTCTATTCCCAAATCGATGCCTTCTTGCTGTTTGACCCAGGGCAAGTTACCTTACTTCCTGAGCCTCAGTTTCCTCATCTGTAAAACAGAAATTATGATACTACCCAGGAAACACAGGCACAGGACATCCTAAACCCTGAAAAGAAGGCACGAAGCCCTAAACTCTCCCCAGCCTCTTCCCCAATCTTCTCTGGGAACCGCAGGAAGATGTGTGAGGTTGCGTAGTCCCGGACAGGGAGCGATGTTTTTGTACCTCTGAATCTCAAGGAGCAAAAGCCGATGAGTTCAGCAGCCCAATCTCATCCAAGGTGTTCTTTCACTCCCTCATCCCCAAGGCAAACCAGACTTTCACCCAAGTGCCTGAACTGGCATCTACCCAAGGTCAGCCTACAGATGCCGACAGGGAAGCACACGCATGTCTTAAGAAAGCAAGACTCGAGAGTTCCAGCAGTGATTACTGGAAGGTTCTTAATGAAGCAGCCTCCTGAGGAAGCTGATTTAAGGATTTCTTCATCATCGAATGGACATCATCAGTGAACCCAAACCAAAATATCTCCCTCATTAGGCACTTCCTTTAGGTCACTGACATCCTTCACTAGGCAGATATTTTAAATGAGGTCAAAAAACAGACTTACCACCACACCCTTCTTCCTGCTCCCTTTGTTATCTGACCTGTTTAAGGACTCATGCGAACAATAGTGAAGATGGAAACTCTAAATGATACACCTGCCTCAGCGTTCATCTGCCCCAGGAAAATATGTCTCCAGCTTGGTGAGTCACAAGGAAATGCCGGCTGTTTTCTTCTCACGAGAGGTTTTGTCAACTTGTCAGCCCCACTACTTGGACTTGCAGAGAGCACTTCAGGACCTGCAGCTCTGTTCCCTCGGCACCAGTGCTAAACTACCAGCAGCAAGTGCGACTGCAGAGGTCTCCGAGGCAGTTTCCAGAACAAATTTAACTCACCCCTGCCCAAGTGTCTGCAGATAAGGGCTTGAGCCAGCATCATCTGTCCACAGCGTAGCATACATCCCCAGCCGGCGTCTGACGAAGGGCCCGTTCCCCCTGTTGGCAAAATGGATGGGAATGAATATGAGTTCCTTGAACTGCCCTTTCCCGAAACATCAGCATATTTGGGAATCATACAAGACAGACAGGCACACATACTCGGAATAGAGAGGCAAGAGATATAGTCAAACATCAAACAGGGTTTGTTACAGGGTGCAACTTGCAAAGATAATGCTGAGTTAACCAAAACAGGTTCTATGGCCAAAGGAAAACAAACAAATGAACAAAACCTGCCCCTTATGTTTTCTGCCTAGAGACATCCAGGTATGTGTACAGTTTTGGTATATGACTAACATGTATGACTACCAACACTTAGTCCATGCCATGTCATCATCTGCTTGACCGAACCTGACTTTTCACAACTCACTTCTCGGGGAGGGCAATCTTACCTTAGTTAAGGAATAAATGCTACCAAACTTGATTATCAAAATGGTCAAGGAGATCTGGAAGGCTCTTGACTGTTCTAAATATACATTATGAAGGTCTGAACAGTAAGAGGGAGAATGTGAAATAGAGGAAAGAGTCCTAGATTAGGCATCAGAAGACCAGTCTCATCTGTAGACTGGGGATAATAGCACATGCCTTGCCTACTACTAGTGGATATTGTAAGAATTAAAAGAGAGAGTATAAAAGTGTTCTACAACCCACTCAGGATGATGTAAATATCTGGTGTTATGAGTATGGTCATAATTAAAAATACCACTAATAAATTAGAAATGTACTACCTTTTTAAAAGGCACAAAGCCAGTTAATAAGGCAACGGGTTCCATTTTAAGAACACTTGATGTAACAAAAATCCCATAAACGTGGCCAGGGTGAGCTCAGTATCCTTTTTCAAGGTACCAGTGAAATGAGATAACTTGGATGGTGGAAGAGACATTCTGCTTTCATTGCTTCATTTCCCAACATGGAAGTGGAAAAGTATGCTGTAAGCATGGTCTCACAAGACTAACTGTAAAGGGGGTCATCAACCACGTAAGATAAGTGGGCCAAGGTGGCCGCTCCTTTCCTTTTGTTGTGGGGACTGAAGGAGAGTTGCTACAGCAAGATGGGGAAGGTTGAGCCAATTTGTGAGCTGGAAGGGGAGTCCTTTGGCTCTTGCTAATGGTGGGATTATGGGCCAGATTAGTATGGAAAAGATGCAAGGAAGCCCACATAAAAAAAAGATCATCTCTTCCAAAACATTGTCAGAGTTGAACTGCAAATGTTTTCAAATCTTGCAAAGATCTCTTCACCCAGAAAAAAGTTTAACAGTTTAGAATCACTGGGTACTAAAGATTGTTCTTTTGCGTATTTTGCTCAGGTACTTCCTGTGGAGAGCAAAAAAAAAAAAAAATGTCTGTGTGAACTTCACTGTTTGTACTTATCAGAAAGGTTTATTTCACTCCAGTTACTAGGTCCAGTCCTGGACCAAAATTAGTCAGACAGGTTTCCTCTTAGAATAGCTTCCACCATTTGAGTTTGGTGATCCTTTCCTACAGTACCACGAGACTAGGAAGAGGTCACCCTACTTGCAAACATTTCACAAATTTTCTCTGGAGGGATGCTATTCACTTAGCTCATTGAACTGTCCTTTTTTCTAGACAGCAGCTGGTACTCTTAACTGACTAGAATTAGTTCCAAGCAAGTCCATTATAATTCATCTCCCAGTGGCAAGATGTTTTCATCTCACAGGGAAAAAAAAAGCAAAGGAATTATTTTCTTTCCTTCAAGGTACAGCCATCTTTAGTAATCAAATATCTCCACAAAGCAGTGGATTATAATTTAATAGATACTGTCCAAATTAAAAGCTTGACTTTTGCCTTGCTCTTAGAATTAAAACAAGTAACACTTCTAAGTGCCTGAACACTTGGAGGTGGTTGGGCTCAAAAGTATACTGGCATTACACATTAACACCATGGAACCATACACGATGAGGCACGTCGGCAATGAGATTTCTGGATGAAGCATAAGACTTAACTACTCCGCCACATTAAATTCTTCGCCATAGTGAGCTGTTAGTTCTGAGGTTTCCATGATGTCACTGGTAACCTCAGGAAAGCTATCTACAAAGAAGAAAGCACGGTATAATAAATGATATACCTACCAATTGGTGAAAATTTCCTTCTGTATGTAAACCACAGACGAGCACTTATATCAGACAACAGCTTAGATTTTTCTGTAATTAAATGTGAAATTAAAATTAAATCATCGTATCCCATCTGAAGATATCTGCCTTTGATTTCTGAGCCAGCAGCAAACTCAATTTCAAATAACCAGACAATTCCATTGTTATGAGGCTAAGGGAAATTCATAGGCAACCCAATCTCATTTTAGCCAAATAATTTCAGCATTTCCCCCCACCTATGTATTTTTGTTTGTTTGTTTGTTTTTTTGCGGTATGCGGGCCTCTCACTGCTGTGGCCTCTCCCGTTGCGGAGCACAGGCTCTGGACGCACAGGCTCAGCGGCCATGGCTCACGGGACCAGCCGCTCCGCAGCACGTGGGATCCTCCCAGACGGGGGCATGAACCCGTGTCCCCCGCATCGGCAGGCGGACTCTCAACCACTGTGCCACCAGGGAAGCCCCTACCTATGTTTTGATCAGAGCTACTGGCTAGTACAATGATGCTGAGTGGTTCCTGCCTCCTTCTCACTGAGAGCCAAAGCCCCAACAGGTACTTAACACTGGGGTCACATGACCAAAAGACAAGGACTAGGAAAAGCAAGGATCCTGGATAACCTGCTCACAAGGCAATCAGCCCCTGCCTGAATGATGATGGTTGGTTGGATCTCTTATCAGCATCCACTGTCTGTTATCTAAAACTAGGGATGGGTCGTGTGTGTGTGTGTGTGTGTGTGTGTGTGTATGTGTGTGTGTGTGTGTGTGTATGTGGGGGGGGTACACACAAATGTTTAACTATGAAGGAGATGTCCCTGCTAAGCAAATTAAGTGTATAAGAAATTTATCAATACTACCTACTGCAACTGGCATTTTTAATCTAAATGGATGTATAACATCACAAATGCTTTTGTATATTTTTTTCCAAAGCATGCTTTCTTGTATTTCATGGCATAAATTTACTTCGATGGCCACAAATCTGGCATCCACATGTCATCTGTACTTAGATGTGGTTCTGTCTTTCTTAGTCTTCTCTCTCCCCCTTCTCAACAACACATCTATATTTGTATTCTATAGAGAACTTATAGCCATTGCACTTTAAAAGAAGAAAAGGAAGTTCAATTTTATCCAATAGTCTCTATTTTTTCTCCTGCCTTTCCTTTGAACAAATCAGAAAGTTGAGCTGTCTGGATTTTCCTTCCCCTTCATGTTGCCGGTGCCTAGCACATTATGGGAAGCAGACGTAAAATGGTTAAGAGCAAGACTTCTGGAGCCATATTCTGCCCGGGTTTGAACCCTGACTCTACTACTTACCAACTGTGTGGGCTTGTCACTTAACCTCTCTAAGCTTCAGTTTCCTCATCTGTAAAATGGGGAGAATGATCGTACCTACTTCATAGACTTATGAGTATTCAACAAGATAACACTACATGGAAAGTAGTAGCTTACATGGTACAGTATGCAGTAAGCCTGAGGTAAATGTTAGCTGTTATTATATTCCCTCCTCTCAAATGCTCACGCCACTCACTCCTTCCTCTGATATTCTCTATGTCTTCCAGCTTGCCTATATGCTAGAAAGTCTGGGGAAAAGTTGTATAGACATTTTAATAATAATTTCACCTTGAAAGGCCTTTTCCAGCCTAACATTTGAAAATGGGCATATTTGAGGACATGGAAGCAACCTAAGTGTCCATCGACAGATGAAATGGATAAAGAAGATGTGGCACATATATACAATGGAATATTACTCAGCCATAAAAAGAAACAAAATTGAGTTATTTGTAGCAAGGTGGATGGACCTAGAGACTGTCATACAGAGTGAAGTAAGTCAGAAAGAGAAAAACAAATACCATATGCTAACACATAATTATGGAATCTAAAAAAAAAATGGTTCTGAAGAACCTAGGGGCAGGACAGGAATAAAGACGCAGACATAGAGAATGTACTTGAGGACACGGGGAGGGGGAAGGGTAAGCTAGGACAAAGTGAGAGAGTGGCATGGACATATATACACTACCAAATGTAAAATAGATAGCTAGTGGGAAGCAGCCGCATAGCATAGGGAGATCAGCTTGGTGCTTTGTGACCACCTAGAGGGGTGGGATAGGGAGGGTGGGAGGGAGATGCAAGAGGGAGGAGATATGGGGATATATGTATATGTATAGCTGATTCACTTTGTTATAAAGCAGAAACTAACACACCATTGTAAAGCAATTATACTCCAATAAAGATGTTAAAAAAAAGAAAATGGGCATATATGGCAACTTGGGGATCCCTGTTGTCATGGAATGCTGAACTAGAAGAGATCATCTCCAGTCCCCCTCCAGTTAACTACTGGTGAAAGGAGTTAAGATGTGGAAAGAGAAAGTGAATTATCCAAGGTAGAAGAGCCTGAATACAAAAGGTCTCCTAATTGCTAGCACTAGGTGCTCTCTACTATTCAGGATTCTCCAATCAAAAGGATGAAGCCAGACTCAGATGGAGTTAAGAGATGCTAACTTCCTCTCCTGCCTTTTTTTTTTTTAATTTTTTTAATTTTTTGGCCATGCCGTGTGGCACGTGGGATCCTAGTCCCCCAGCCGGGGATTGAACCCACGCCCCCTGCATTGGAAGCGCAGAGTCTTAACCACTGAGCTGCCAGGGAAGTGCCCCCTCCTGCCTTTTGATCAGCTTCTTCTGTCCCTCCCGCCATGCTAGGGCCTCCAAAGAGGATCTCTCCTCAGATACAAAAATCAGAGCTGCCTCTCTCCAAGTTCAGGCTTTATCTATGTTCTGGGTTGTTAGCAGTTTCAGGTGAAAAGGTCTTTCCCAATCTATAAGAGAGTAAGGGTAAAGAAGAAAAATCCAAGCCTCCTTTCCCTCTAGTTGCAGTGGGTAAAAAGTTCTATACAAAATCAGAATAAACGGAGACAGTGCTGCAGTCAGCAAAAGCTCTAAAACTATAAGACTTCTCAGTGTCTGATATTGTTGCTGACTTCTAAACAGCCATGGGCTGTTTAGAAGTCCCTTGGGTGGCAGTGTTTTTCATCTAGATAGAAAAGGACGTGAGAGGAATGAGAAGTATGTAGCCCAGTCATCAAAGACTAGATACTGGTTAGTGATACCAGGAGCAGGTCCATGTTTTTTGAAACCCGAGGCTTATAGAATCTGGGGGTTCTCCTTTAAGGAAAAGAACAAAAATACATGACTTTTTCAAATCGTACAAATACCAATGACCTTGTGAACACGCTGCTAGGGCCTCTCAGGGCCTTAGAAGGGACCTTGCATGCAAGCAAGGGGCCTGAGGCTTAAAACTCCTCTGGTTGTCAGGTAAATCCGCCTAGGAGTAGCATTAACCCTTATCAACCCAAGGAGGAAAACAGGATAGGACCTTAACCCTGGGCACCCACCTCATTTGGGTTCTCACAGTCCAATGCTACCAAACCTTACCGGTTTTAAGAAGATGCTGTTTCCCCAAGATCCATACCAGCTCATCTGTATCTGGAAATTCTTCTAGGTAGTCAGCGAAAATAGTAATCTGGTTTTCATACTTGGATAAAACTGAAAGAAAAAGAAAGAAACTTAGGCAAAATTTAATACAGAGGGCTTGCTTCTTTGGTTTACTGATTATTACCTTTGTCCTGAAGGTAAAAGGTGGCTGGCTAGAATTTAATGGAAGCAAATCCTTTTCCTTGAGGAACAAAGACACTCACAAGGCCTGAAAATTCTTTAGTAGAGGGATTTCCTCTTGACCACCTATTTTGACCTTCCCTTTCTCATGGTCCCATGTGGCACCATCTCTGAATAATTTTTTGATCACAGCTATGTCAAACTTTTTTTTTCCAATGGGGCTTTCTTTGTAAATAGTCACTTTCCAGCTTCTCCTAGTGTGACTGTAGCAGGTGGCACAATAATACCTGCATACCTAACCCCTGTCCACATCACAGGGAATATTGTGAGGTTTCTAGTGGCCAGTGGCTTAGAAGGGGGTTATGATAAGCCTGAAAGACTATACAACAGTGAAAACGTAATATTTTAGCTGGAAGACCAGATGTTTTAACAGTACTTTCATTTACCATTTTATTCACTTATAACTTCTGCAAAGAAGAATCTTGAAGCTGCCGATAAATATAACTTGTTCTTGGGATTCACAAGTGACTCTCTCTCAAGAGAAAGCAACTGAACAAAATACAATTAAATCTCATAAGTTCACAGGCCACAGTCTCAGAACTTATGGCCATGTAATGCGAGATATGTTCATATTCACTTTTGTACCACCTGCGGAGAAAGGGTCTGCTAAAAGAGTCAAGACTGATTTATGAAGGGGTCTTATTGCAAAAGTTCCCTTTAAGTAATCTTCTGAGAGAAAGAATATTGTAGGTAAATAAGTTTCCAAGCCAGCCCAGAAAAATCTATCTTAACCTGTAACCAGAAAAATCAAATTGCTAGTATATATCGTAGTTTATGGTGTTATTTCAATGACAAATCATATTTCAAGTTCAAAGCTGAGACAACTCAACACACACCTTCTCTTCTCAGCTCTTGGAGGCTCCCAGCCCCTATGGGGAGGGGAGCTCAGACAGAGTAGGGGTCATTTTGTGCAGATACAAGTAGCTGCAGGGACTCTCCCAGACCAGTCCCTAAGAGCAGCAGGGGAATAGTTTCCTATAAAAAATGGCATCGTGGGATGTGTTTAAGCTCACTTGAAAGGACAAATTGCTTTCTTTTGGCTTTGTTTTCTAAGGCATGCTGTTTTCATAGAAATAAATGTTCTTAAGTATAAATGAGTCTTATCTGATCATGAAAACAGGTTACGTGGTTGGAGGCTGATGTTATACTTTGTATAATTTGTATAAATTGAAGTTATAATTTGTTTGAAGTTAAAATTTTAGAAACACAGCTACCCAGGGATACTGCCTTTCTTGAAACACATTCCAGAAGTCCAATCTTTCAGGGATTTAGGTAGCCTTTCTCCTCAAGATGTTTTAATCATTAGGGTTACAGCCTTGGCAGTATTTCAAACCTAAAGAAGTTAGAAATGAGACAGCCATTTCATTCCCCAGTGAAAACTCATCACTGCCGAATCTGCCAGGGAGCTTGTGCCGTCTTAGCCTTTCTGCCACTGGCCTCAGCCCCTGGCCCATGCCCAGGAAACAGCAGGCTAAAAATGATCATCCAGGTCAGGCCATCCCCAGGAGGTGGTGGACTGAGGTGGCATAAATCACACTGTGTACCTCCCCACCCTACTCTACACCCCTCACAGGCAAGAGAAATCAGCTTAAGATGAACATCCAGTGTAGCATATAAAAGAGAAAAAAGAAGTCAGGAAATAAGTAGCTTGCGAGGAGTGTGGGAAAGGGGCAACCTCTCTGGCATTCCCCTGGTAGGGATGAGGAAGGGTGGCACTGGATGAATGTACAGCATGTATGCATATAAGCCTTGGGTCTTTTTTTAGTACTGGCTGAAAAAAGAAACATTTTTCTATCGCCAACCCTGTCTCAGTGAGTCATTGCCCAGCTATCTGGTCAAATTAGTACAGCCCCTTAAAGGCTGTGAGAACTGCACTGCTTCATCTGAGATGGCTCTGACCAAAATGGTAGCCAAAGAATTTTCCTCTTGCTCTTCCACACCACCCCCCAAGGCCAGCAGAAAGGGCATTACAGTCTCTATTCTGCCTGATTCTCCTCTTAGAAAACAGACTCCCAGAATGCAGTGTGTCAGGCCATAGCCAGCCTGAATTGAAAGCTACATGGATGAAACAAATGAAAAGCCAGAACAGAAGATGAGATTAACAGAAGCAAAGGGCAGTAACACAGGGAGAGTATATAAATGGGAGTCCGGGGAGGAGAGAAGAATTGGTCTTCCACAAGAAGACCTCCAAGAGACGAAGAAGCCAGCTGGGATGTGGCTGGGGCGCAGAAGTGAAATGGCATTTCCAAACAAATCACTTCTCACTAACGGCAATCCTTTGGAAAAAAATTTTCAAAAACTACTTTTGTCTTGTCTTAAAATTAACAAACAAGACATCAGCCCCATATGAGTTCCTTGCCCTTTCAGCCTGTTTATAAAGACATAGAACTGTACAGGCAGAGCTGCAAATATGCAGCTTGGTGGACCAAGAATTAGCTTCTACAAGGTCCGATAGACAATAGGCTTCACTCTGTTCCATTCTACTTTAATAATTATTGCACCGAAGTCTCTGCTGGGTTAGCTTCGTAGTCAACTAATAATTCATAAAAAGGTTTCCATAAACTCCTGGAACCAAAAAGTCTCCCAGTCTTGGCCAAGTGGCTCTGTGTACATGTTGGGGCATGCCTTCAACAGTCAGCCAGGCAGTTGATTAACTCTGCCTTAGTTTTCCCTTTCTGCTTGTACAGAGCTCGAGGATAGCCAGAGTGAGAGCTGAGGGCCTTCTCAGGTCTTTCCTGAGCATGCGCACAGCCTTGGGAATGAACATAGCCCTGAACATGCATGTGGTCCTCCCATATTCCCAGGAATATGCCTGAACTTTTCAAAGCCCCAGTGGATATATTATTCCTTAGCTTTACCTTTTAAACTTTTTGGTTATCTACTCCTCAAACAGCTGTGAAGTTAATCAATTGCCTCTAATAATTTTCCAAAAAAGCCCCGGCAGGGAAGGCTTTCTGTACCTCCAAGTCAGGACAAATAAATACAAGTCTTGTAAGTGGGGTCTTCCGGGGAATTGTCAGACAGATCAAATAATGACAATTCTCTAGAAATGAGGCTTGACAGGAGCTCCAACCGTGTTCTGCGTCCTCCAGGGGCTACCAGGTTGCTGGCTTTCCCTATGGCTGCAGGCTGTGGATTCTCAAGGCTACTGCAGAGCTGGAGAGCAAAGGATGGGCATAGCGCAAGTGAAAACGCCACAAAGCTTACTATTCTTACCAAAATGCAGCCGTTTTTCATGAATAAATACTCCCCAGATTGGTGCAAGCCTTTGGTTAATTTCCAGAGTGCTGCAAAAGTTGATTCTGATCATTTTTGCCAATTCTTGTCATTTCTATTATGGGTAGAATTTTCAGAAGTCCTCATTCTGCCATTTTTGCTGATAACTTACTTTAATAATTTGCTTTCCAGGGAGCTTCCCTGGTGGCGCAGTGGTTGAGAGTCCACCTGCCGATGCAGGGGACACGGGTTCATGCCCCGGTCCAGGAAGATACCACATGCCGCGGAGTGGCTAGGCCCGTGAGCCATGGCCGCTGAGCCTGTGCTCCGCGATGGGAGAGGCCACAACAGTGAGAGGCCCGCGTACCGCAAATAAATAAATAAATAAGTAATTTGCTTTCCAGTGATTGACTATATTTCTAAGGATTATTTTGTAAAACTGCAAGTAAATGAAGAAAAAATCATTTTAAACAAGATTTTCTGATAGGGCTTAACAAAACTTGTACATCAAGGCTCCCAGATTCTGTGGGGTTTGTGCCCCACAAACAACACAATCACTCTAAAATGAAATCAAAAGGTCACAGAATCTCAGGGCCAGAAAAAGCCTGAGGCACCACAGCATATCTTCCTTGTAGATCACCCTATTCTAAAAGCACTCCAGGATACTGCTGCTTCCAAAACTGCCTTCTCAGCGATACATTTTTTGAATTTTTAAAAAAACTGAGGTATAGTTGATGTACAATATTATTTAAGTTTCAGGTGTACAACACAGTGATTCACAATTTTTAAAGGTTATATTCCATTTATAGTTATTATAAAATGTTGGCTATGTTCCCTGTTTTGTATTATATGTATTTGTAGCTTATATTTTATACATAGTAGTTTGCGCCTCTTAATCTCCGACCCTTATCTTGCCCTTCCCTACTAGTAACCACTAGCTTGTTCTCTATATCTGTCAGTCCGTCTCCTTTTTGTTATATTCACTAGGTTAATACATACACATTTAACGTACTGTCAGGTCACAGCTTCAAAAACATAAGAAAATGTTCACATCAGACAGGTATGGTAAGGGCTGAATATACATTAATATACTCATTCCATAAATTTTTACAGAGTACCTACTATGTGCTAAGCACAGAGAATAAGACATCACTGAGATGTAGCCTCCATCCTCCAAAAGCTTTTAATCTAGTAGAGAGGATAGGTCTGGAAACAACTAACAACAATAAGTCCTATAAGAAAGGAAAGTGAGAGAGAAGAGATCAAGATGGTGGAGTAAGAAGACATGGAGCCCACCTCCCCCCACAAAAGCATAAAAAATACATCTACATGTGGAATAATTCTCACTAGAACTAACTGGAGGGACTTCCCTGGTGGTGCAGTGGTTAAGAATCCACTTGCCAAGGCAGGGGACATGGGTTCGAGCCCTGGTCTGGGAAGATCCCACATGCCATGGAGCAACTAAGCCCATGTGCCACAACTACTGAGCCTGCACTCTAGAGCCCGTGAGCCACAACTACTGAAGCCCACGTGCCACAACTACTGAAGCCTGTGCACCAAGAGCCCATGCTCTGCAACAAGAGAAGCCACCGCAATGAGAAGCCCATGAACCACAAGGAAGAGTAGCCCCCGCTCACGGCAACCAGAGAAAGCCC